TTGGATATTGACTCAGATAAATGGCAAGAAGCTATGCAAACCGAAATAGACTCCATGTATTCAAACCAAGTATGGACTTTGGTTGAACCACCTCAAGGTATAGTACCTATCGGTTGTAAATGGGTTTACAAGCGAAAACGTGGTGGGGATGGAGAAGTTAATACTTTTAAAGCAAGACTGGTTGCTAAAGGTTATACTCAGAAGCAAGGTGTTGACTATGAGGAAACTTTTTCACCAGTAGCAATGCTAAAATCTATTCGGATATTGCTAGCCATAGCTGCGTATTATGACTACGAGATATGGCAAATGGATGTGAAAACTGCTTTTCTTAATGGAAACATTAAGCAAAACATTTATATGAAACAACCGCAGGGTTTCATATCCAGTGGGAGCGAACAAATGGTTTGTAAACTCCAAAGGTCCATATATGGACTAAAACAAGCTTCAAGGAGTTGGAACATCCGGTTTGATGAAACGATCAAAACGTTTAATTTTCATAAGAATCCGGATGAACCATGTGTTTATAAGAAGGTAAATGGGAATGCAGTTGTTTTTGTTGTTCTCTATGTTGATGACATCCTACTCATTGGGAATGATATAGGGATGTTGCAGTCAACTAGGACATGGTTGTCTAAACAATTTTCCATGAAAGACTTGGGAGAAGCATCTTTTATCCTAGGGATAAAAATCTATAGAGATAGATTTAAAAGGATGATCGGACTATCCCAGTCGACGTACATAAATAAGGTGCTACAACGGTTTAGCATGGAAGAATCCAAACGAGGATATATTCCAATGGGTCATGGGATTTCTCTTTCTAAGATGATGTCTCCAAAGACAACTGAAGAAAGAGAAAAGATGTCTCATATACCTTATGCATCTGCTATTGGTAGCATTATGTATGCAATGTTATGTACGAGACCTGATGTTGCTCATGCACTTAGTGTAACGAGTAGATATCAGTCTAATCCAGGTGAAGGTCACTGGACTGCCGTTAAAAATATTCTTAAGTACTTGAGAAGGACTAAGGATATTTTCTTGATATACGGTAATGGAGAATTGAAACTGGAAGGCTTTAATGATTCCGGTTTTCAGTCCGATAAAGATGACTATAAATCCATGTCAGGATATTTATTTACTCTGAATGGAGCAGCAGTCAGTTGGAAAAGTTCCAAACAGGAGACGATTGCTGACTCTACTACAGAGGCTGAATATATTGCTGCATCTGATGCTGCAAAAGAAGCTGTTTGGATAAGGAACTTTATCCAAGGGTTGGGTGTAGTACCATCCGTTGTTGATCCAATAATGATTTATTGTGATAACAATGGGGCTATTGCGCAAGCAAAGGAGCCAAGATCTCATCAAAAATCCAAACACATTATGAGGCGATACCATTTGATTAGAGAAATCATTGGTAGAGGCGATGTCGTGATGGAGCGAGTCGACTCAGCAGAAAATATAGCAGACCCCTTAACTAAACCCTTATCACAGAAAGTGTTCGAAGGACATCTTGAGAAGATGGGTCTTAGATACATGAGTGATTGGAACTAGGGCAAGTGGGAGATTGTTAGAGTAGGGTACCCGGCGTTCCAATCTAATTGGACGTATTCTACTTGTAAATACAGTCTATTGGAATTATATTATGAATAAGGCATTTCTTTATCTTAAGAGAAAGCATTTATCTTATAATTGCACTTAAGATAAAATCCCTAGATCACTTATGGTTATAAGGTATGGTTGCGCATAGAGATGGTGATCATGGAACATACCTTGAAAGCCGTGATCTTAAATACAGTTCCAAGTCGATGGATGTTTCGAGATGGGATATCGAATAATCCATAAAAGACTTGCACATAGTTTGTATGCTTGTTGGACAAGAATGTTGCATTCCATCAACATTAGCGTAAGACGTAAGTACATTTATGTGGGTGCTTGTTAGAGAACAAGTTCACTGAACATGACCGTATGAAAATTCTTAATGAAGAATTTATTCAGTCGAATAAGAATTTTCATGTTACAATAGTACATGACTAATCCTAAGACTTGAGGCACAATGGTAACTTTGTGCATATTACATTCTACTTTGATTTATCCTTTTGGTAGCTAGCACTATCGTTTAAAGGGATAAGTTGGGTATTATGTTGATATGTATGGAAGTTTGTTAGTGGCCAATAAAGGATTCGACACTTATGAAGATAAGTGAATTTCCTATGTGTTTCATAGTTATTAATCCAAAGTCCTTGGCCAAGGCAGAGATGAATAGTGATTCATAACCGGGTTAATAAACATGAAATAGAATCATAGTTATTAAGTCAATTTGGGTTTCGACAAAATCATACCCAAGACTTAATCGGGAAATTAGATGTCGAAAGGATTTTACATGTATGGAGTTGTAATCGGAATAGGTTTACTCGCTATTCACTTAATACTAGATTCATGCTACTTGCTAGGTGTTACCATGATATGTGGGTTCATAAATTAAAGGGTTAATTCATGAATAAGAGTTAATAAGATTTAACTCAAATTACAAAGTGTTGTAAACCCACTACTAGTATTAAGGTGAACCTAAAAGGTCACACTAATTATGAACAAAGGTAAAGATTGTATTTCTAATGGTTAGAATTAATTGATAAATATCTAATTTGATTAGATATCAATTAAAGGAATATATTAATCAATAAGATTGATTAATTACATTTTGGATATTACTTTAGTAATTAAGGTAATTACTAAATTAATAAAGTTGAATTTTAAAATAGGATTTTAAATTTCAAAAATCCAAAATAATAATAATATGATTATTATAATATTGGGAAAATGATATAATAATAAAGTCTTGAGAAAGATTCTCAAGATTTATTATCCAATTATTATTTATATCTTTAAATATGATTTAAGGATTAAAATAATAAATATGATTATAATAAAATGGTTGTTGATGGTTGTTTGAACTACTTAACATATCTTATTATTTTCAAAGTCAAAAGTTAGTAAATACTATTTAAATAAAATTTGATTTTATTTAATATTACTAAATGTTGATTATTTTATGCTAAAATGTTTAGTATAAATATATGCAAAATGGTTTTGCATTTAAGTGAAGTTTTTGATCCTAAATTTCTAAGTGTTAGAAAGAGAAGAAAGTGTTCTTCATAAAACTTCAAGAAAGAGTTCTTAAAATTCCCAAATAAAATTCATAAATATTCCTATACAAGAAAACCGAGTCTTTTCTACTAGCGAAGGAAAGTCGTCGGAACCGGGCTTCATAGGGTGGATACGTTTAGAGGGAAGACACTTGGATTCCTCTAGCGAGTAACCTCAAGTCGTTGAAGTTACAACCGGGAACCGATTCCCTCATCCATCATCAATAGTGAAGGAGTTCAAGACATTCGGTAAATATTTTTACTAGTATTTACTTTATAGTAACAAATCAAAATTTGTATATGATGCATGTTTTAAAGATGACGATCAGTTAATTCGCAATTAGTATGTACGGGTGTTGTATTTATACGATAAATACTTACTTTAAAAATTTTAAATTCCGCTGCGTACAGCCCGTACGGTACTGGCGAACCCAACATGTTCACACTAGGGACGGTATCGTAATTAATCAACTTAAGTGTGAACGCAACAAACCAAGTAATTACGGTACCGCCCCTAGTGTGAACACTCGCAGAAATTTATAATAATTAAAATATAATAAAATAATTTATATAATATTAAATGAAAAAATAAATTAAAATTAAAGTAAGATAAAATTTGTTAGAGTGCATTTAAATTACAATAAACTTATATAGTTCTTATGATTAAAATAATTAATTATATAAACTTTGAAATAAAAATTAATAATGGTAAAATTGAATTAAAAAAATAAACTAGATTAAAGTATACCGATTAAAATAAAATAAAAATTAATATAATATAAGATAATAGAGTATAAAAAATGGTAAAGTGAAATAAAATAAATAAAATAATAAATCAAATAAATTATTATGAAATAACAGATTAAAATAAAGAAGAATATGAAATGTATATAATAAAATTAAAAAGAATATTATTTTTTATAAGATAATTTTATTTTTAACATACAACTTGGCTTGATGTGGTGGTTACAATGCCATCATGCAACCCTGAGGTCCCAAGTTCTTTTTTATCATGTCAGAGCCATGTCAGTAGAAAGTCGCCATGTCCGACAAAGTCCGAAATTGGACCCTGTGATTCAAATTGCCAAAAACAGTCAAAGTGGTGTATATATTTCTTAAATTTAAGAGTGATGCATATAATTGCAAAAACCAAAAAGGTCATAGTTTTATTAGCAATTAGGCCAATTAAAAAACAAAAGGTAGTTATGCACAAAAAAATTAAAAAATAAAATAAAATAAAAGGACTTTGATACGCACAACTACCCATCCCAAAAGGAGGATCGAAGTAAGCTAAATATATATTAAATTTTATTTATCTATTAATACATCAGAAAACGAGAAATAAACTTCTTTGGTTATAAGTGGATCACAGAAAAAAGATTTTATTGTAATATATCTATCACCAGGAACCTTAAAGAAAGATAACAAAAAATTGCAGATTTTGTGCGAAGATAGTCCGTGACACAGAACACATCATGACATTTTGTATTTAGAATTTGTATAAATACATTAAATTATGTCCCTTGGGGGACAACACTCAATTTACCATTTACGAATAGAACACTCACAACAATAAATACAACATTTATGTTGCCGATCTTATTAACCACTCTCTATACTTATCTAACCTCATATTCATCACAAAAAAACATGTTGTACAAGTTGTTGTTATCAACACAACGTCACCAAGAACTTGTGTTTCATGAAAGAGGGATGATCCTTAGTTGTTGCAACACCAAGAATGCATGCCCAAGCTACAACACCAGTCACCCACCAATTAAATCAACTACTAATTTATATATAGTCCTTACATTACTATCAAGTTTTTCTTGCCTACTCAAACTATAATTTATTACCATGACTCTATTGGCGATCCTAATCGCACTACTACTCGTTTCGTCCACCAAGGCCACGAACCTGACATCCGACAAAGAGGCGGCCACCCGAGAGATGCAGAAAGCCAACTACTTTACATTCGTGATGCTCCTCAACATGGCCCCACCTGACATAATCAAAGGCGGCATCACATTCTTGATGCCCAACGACAAGGCCCTCTCCAAGGCCGCCATATCTGAGTCCTCCGTGGCTGACTTCCTTCTCCGCCACTCCATCCCTTCGCCCCTTCTCATCGACGATCTCGAGCACTTCCCATCAGAGTCCACGGTCCCCGCATCCAAGCCCGGACTCGTTTTCAGGGTCAGGAATCAAGGGAGGCGGCATTTTTTCCTGAGCAACGTTCGAGTCGTGAGCCCCAACATCTGCACTGAGGGGCTCCTCGTAAGGTGCCATGGTGTAGATGGGGTGGCCCGGCCCGAAATGCCCAACCCGCCATTGGGCCCGCCTTGTCACAGTAATGGATCAAGCCCGTCGGGGGCGGTGGCCCCATCAACGGCATGGTTGGGAGACCAAGGGCCCATCAGTACCCCGTGGGTTGTGGAGGCGAGTATTGCTCGTCCCAAGTCGGGAAACGTAGAGTTAGTTATGGTGTTATTGACGCTATATTTATGTTTTTGAGATGTAGTTGGGTTAACTAAGTCCAAGTATCAAAATGTATTTGTGTTTTTTGCTTCAGTGTCGTGGATCAAAGTATAACCACAGCCTCCATCTATTGTAAGTTCCCAAACCATATATATATTCCCCATATCACCTACCCAATCATATATGGATGCCAATTGAAGCCGACTTTTTTTTTTTTTTCCTTTTCGTGTAGATGCATGTCGAGTTATGGATTGCGAATTTGTCATTGATTAATATACAATAAAATAGATTAGTTCTTGGGTGAAACCGTAGTAATATTATTGACCCAACTAATTGAAACAAGATTAATGTTCTTTTATAATGATGCATGTCATTATTTACTTTTATTTTTTGTATTTTCCTCAAAACCTCAAATCTTTACTATTTTTAAAGGATGAATGATTTTGTAGAAAATTGCACGGACTAAAAAGTCTTTATGTTTATATTATTTTTAATGGAAAATCTGTAATAACTATTCATATCTTAATGAACTATAATCATAATTATATCAATAAAATATAATTATGACAAAAACAACACTCTTTCAAAAATAAAACATAAACAAAATAGATTTAAATAGGTAAAACAAGAATTTAATCAATAAAAGAGATGCAAACTATTTCAATGAGGTTGAGAGCAAAAAACCCTATTCTCTCGTTGAGAGCAAAATCGCTGCGTTGATGTGATCTTGATCTTTCATTTTCCCCTGTCTCATTTTCAATCTATTCTTTCTCACCGGTTTCAACTTCGGTTCCCAGTCCTTCTATTCATTTTGGATTCTCAATATTATGGATGATCGATTTAAAGCGAGTCAAGATGAGGAACTATTGGAACGACTTCAAGACTTCTCTCTTTCAGACAGAAAATCAACATAGCCTAGGACGATATTAAACTCAGTGCAAATGAATGCCAATGGAGTCTCCTTGGAAAAATTTTTGGCAACCGACGGGCGAGCTGGATTGGAGTTAAAAGAACTATGAGCCAAATTTAGCGAATCTCTCAACCCATGGAGGTAAAAGAACTTGGCCCCAATTACTTTTAATTCATATTTCAAAGCAAAGATGATCTCAAGAAGGTGGCTAGCGGTACTCATTGGAGCTTCGAGAACCAATTCCTAATCCTCTTCGAATGGCAAGATAATATATCCAGTAACCATCCATTCTTTAAAGAGCTTCATATCTGGGTTCGGGTTCCTAATACTCCCCTCAATTGGCTCAGCGCATAATCGTTAGTGTTATATACTGAAAGCTTAGCTTTGGATGTTATTACACTTTTACCCTATATGAATGAGAATCATGTTAGATTAAATAAGTTCCATGTTCTGTTGTTTTGCACTTAGATAGAATGGGTCGACATCGGGCGAACAGAAGATCATTCTATCAGTTATTTGCGAAACAAGAATTGTTGTTCACAACCTATATGGAAATGAACACCCCATCCGAAAGGTTGTAGTGTCAACGGTACAGTTGGTCTTGACTGATTAGTTGCACTAGTACATTTATGTATTGAAAAAAATTCCAGAGAGGAGAAGTTCGTCTTATACTGATCGTCGTAAACGAACTAGACCTCGGTTAAGTACTGCATTCTCTTAACCCGTAAGATACTCCCTCCTATTCATAATAAGTGTCGTTTTGAGAAGTTGCACAATAATTAAGAATATTTTTTTTGCCAATAATAAGCTTCATTAATGAAGATAGGGATGAATGTTTTGAGAAAAGATGAAGAGTGAATATGAAAAGACGTAGTGTATTTATTAGCTAAATGAGGGTAATAATTAGCACTGTCAAAACAGGCCATGGCCCGCGGGCTGGCCCGTCCGTCCGCCTAAATGGACGGGCTTGGACCTTTGCTTGGCCAGCCCGTTCAATCGCGGGAATATTTGGCCCGCCCCGTTCGGCCCGCGGTCCAACCCGTTTTTTTATTATTTATTTATTTGTTAATTTTATATTATTTAAATTTAGTAATTCTTATTTTACTTCTATAACTATTCATAAAAAAAATAAAAATAAAAATTGGATGACAAATATTTAACATCATTACACATGAAGCCTTACTAGTTTATTAATATACTAGTAAATATAAGGATAAACAAACCAAAAAGTATATAAGAGTGCATAATACCAAAAAATCCGCGGGCGGGCCGATTTAGCCCGCGGGCTAATGAGGGCGGACCACGGGCCATGGATTTCCCAGCCCCGTAGAAATGCAGGCCATTTTGGCCCGCCCCGTTTGAACCGCGGGCCAGCGCGGGCCGGACCGGACCAGCCCGTTTGACACTGCTAGTAATAATGGAAAAAACATGTACAAAAAATTCAAAAAGACATTTATTTTGTTAATGGTTGATAAAGCCAAAATGACATTTAAAAAGAATAGGAAGTAGTATTAAACAAGCATATATATGCAGTATATATTACTTTGATTCACTTGGGTGAGGTTCAGTTCGCTGGATTAATATTCCTACTGTCTTGAGTGATATTACTGTATGTATGATGTGCTGTTAGGATATTTACGGCCACCATGTGCGTTAGTTTGATGATGTCCCAGAAGTGAGTTCATGAATGATTGTTATGTTAAACCTTACAGGTGGATTAAGTTCCAACATAATAATAACTAGTACAACACTCGTGTATTACACGGGTACTTGTTAAAAGATTATTCTTAAATTTTAAAATCAATGAGAAAAATTATTTTAAATTTTATTTACCTTTTTACAAAAAACATATATTATTATATATTTTAGAATGACACTTGTTACTTGTGCGACTTAGATGTGTTATATTATAGTAATTTGTATAAGTTATATCATATAACTACTTGAAATATCAATATATTAATTGATAAATAATTTAATTTTTTAATCAATATTAAAAATAATTTTATTATTATTATAAAGATAAATATGATTTATTTATTTTTATACATACAATATGGATGTTAAATCTAAGCTCATTAAGAGATGTTTAATTTGATATATTATATATGTAAAACTGATAAAAAATACAAAAGTTATTAACTTTTAAAATATATTTACAATTCAATGGATATATTAAGAAATGATATTAAAATGCACTTAATATATGTAACATGACCATAAATAATCAACATATTTATGGATAATCCAAAATCTAATTATTTTTGGATTGGAAGTAAATTAAAATCTACTCAAGCCTGATAACGAAGCATGTAATTTTGCCACATAGGATCCCGAAGCATGGGAGTCTGCCACTTAAGCTCAGCACGTTCTGAATTAATATATATAGGGGGATGTGATGAACAAGCACTAACTTCGGTGAAATAATAGTATATTAATTATTTCTTGATTGTCAAGAATCGAATTAATTAATGAGCATTATATCTTAAACGTGGGGAGGTAATTTGGGTAATTATAATTGGAGTCTCAAATATAATTTGGGCTAGGAAAAGGAGTGCAATAATATTATGTTAGTGGCCCATAATATTATTTAATAAATTGAAAGAGTGGATTTAGCCCACAGTTAGTCCAATTAATTAAGAAGTCTCATTCCTAATCTCCTAATGATCCCTACTGTAGCTCTATATATAAATCATTAAGCTCATGAGAAGAATACAGATATGCTAGAAATCGTGTGAAACGTACGCCTCTCCCATATTCTCTCTCAGTTCCCATTCGAGCTTTATTTTCTTCTCGTTGCTCCACCGGTAGGAGTTGAAAAGGTGTAAGAGTAATACAGTAGAAGATCTAAAGATAATCGAGACCCGGTGATCTTGCACAGAAGTCGACGATCCACGACCTGGAAGCCGAGGACCACAGACCCCCGCCAGCCGCATCGCCACCGACTACGATTTTGCTTCAACACACGATGGTGCGCAAAAATTATGTTATTCACATCAAATGATAGTGTCGTGTTTGAAACCATGCTTTTCCGGAGACGTCGAATTTTTTTTTCATTTTCGCCTCTATTTACTACTATTTTCCATGACTATTTTAAATGTATATGATTTTGCTTCAAAACACGATGGTGCGCGACAGATATATTATTCACATCAAATGATAGTGTCGTGTTCGAAAATATGCTTTTCAGGAGACGTCGAAATTTTTTCATTTTTGCCTCTATTTACTACTATTTTCCATGGCTATTTTAAATGTATACGATTTTGCTTCAAAACACGATGGTGCGCGACAAATATGTTATTCACATCAAATATTTTTCTTCGAATTTTTATGACTTTATTTGACAAGATGTGTTCAAATGCAGCCATATATAGTGGATTATATTCACCATAACTCGGTTTCGCAGGAATTAGTTAATCCACTATTATGGCCGACTATGTGTTTGATGAATGTTGTTGAATATGATGGTTTTAAATTCGTTTTTAAAGCCTTGGACATGTCGAGGAATTAATGAATGAATGTTTGTAATAATTATTCTCCCAGGGATTGACCCGATAGATTTAATTATTTATTTATAAAATATGTACATCCATTCATTGGATCTAGGATCGAATTATGTAATTTTGTAAATTATATTTTTCGTGTTGTGATCGTGTGTTGATGATCGTGAGACCACAAGAGATCAATGAACCTCAAAAATCCAACCGGATCGAGCCCGAGGAACCGCCGGCGGCGAGCGGTGGTGAATAGTGGCCACACGACCTGGCTGGAAGCGCGACACGGCTCGTGTGGCAATCGCGCGTGAAGAAAAAAAAAATTGACCGCCGGCGTTTTTCGGACCACCAGCTGCGGCGGCCGGCAGCCGGCAGTAGCAGGCGCCGGCAGCTGGGTGGAGTGGTTTTTACTTGGTGCACAAGCTGTACAATATATCAATCAGAATTCTACTGCTAAAGGAGTTCCAGTTGGACAAAGAAAAGAAACTGTCAAGGTTTCCTTATTTAAAGAGACTCAATATTTAATGGTCATAATAGTGGATTTATTTATTCAAATTTATTGTGCAAATTAAATATTTATTATTTATGCATGGTAATTAATTATTGCTTTTGCATGAGATTATTTAGAATTGCATGAATAATTGTGCATGTTAATTAATTATTGCTTTTGCATGAAATTAATTTAGATTGCATGAATAATTATGCATGTTAATTAGTTATTGCTTTAGCATAGGATTAATTTAGAATTGCATTTATATTATACATGTTAATTGATTGTTGTATTTGCATGAATTAATTTAGAATTGCATAAATATTTAAAAATCCTCATAAAATAATACTAAGTTTGAGAAGGGATTTTAAATTA